TGTCTCCGACGAACTTTTATTCTTTTGTCTCCGACAATTTTACAAAAAAAAAAAGGTTATCAGTAACGCTAATAAAAACCCCTACACAAATTCTAGAATTATTAACAAATAATAAGCACGAAAGTATTTCTCAAACAAATTAACATCTCAATTTGAGATTTATGACGGTATTCCTTCTTGTAAACCGAGACAGGGCTGGAACTCTGTGTCATGTAGAATTCTACTTATCGCTTTCTACAATAGATTCTTTTGTGGCACTCTGTGTAACATAGCGGAAAACCAACGAGTATATACTTACTACAGGATAACTAGTTTCATAAGAAACCACATTGCGATATTTCCCGTGCTGTTGGTAACGTATTTATCACAAAAGAAAGTAATCGATTTCTATTGTAGAAAGCGATAAGTAGAATTCTACATGACACAGAGTTCCAGCCCGGGATATAAAAATCTATGACATTATTCTTGAGATCTCGTACGAGAAAAGGCAAGCTATTTTGTTCTTCTAATTTCGTATCGGCGCGACCTGTCTCATTCGGTACAATTTGATCTCAAACCCGAAACAGATTCGCAGTGCGGTTCTAGATATATTCCCTCGCCAGTGTCGTAGCATCTAGGTAGAAATTGTATTTATGGAAATTATAAAATTCAAAACCAAAGTAACGTGAATTCAAAAATTACATTATACACAGGCATCTATAAATAATCCAACGTTGCTGATCCTCGATGGGCACAAAACCCATACACAGAATATATCTATAATCGATAAAGCAAGACAAAATGGTATTATAATGTTATAATAATAATACTCTTCCTAATTCACCCCCTTACGAGTGAATTTCAACCCCTGAAGTCGACTGAACGACTTGTGTAGGGGAAGGGACGGCTATTATTATTATTTGCCGTGGCGCTCCGGGGCGACTTAAAGATGATTGATGGTGCCATTTGACTTACAGGTGAGGAAAACCCGGAAAACCTCACCCACCATCATCGAGACGGTAATGCATGGCGATTTTTTAATCTGCATGTCATATCAACAGAAATTGAATTTCTATTAATACGGCACACATCAAATCCTAAACCGAACCATGCAATTTAATTAAAAATCCAAATGGTTTGGTCTGGGATTCGAAGCCCAGCAGTCTCAGACTCATAAACTTGCCTATAAATGAATATAAGCGCGTTAGACCGCTACACTATTGACCCGATTAATGCTTACCACCTCACTATAGCCACCCTATACAGCCACTAGATGTATCTTTTATGGCCTCTTTAAGCACATTTTATACCCAAGAACTAGAAATTTGGCTTAAAAATCACCCTATACAATATATAAGTGAAATTCCCTCTTTATTTAGCAATGCATACCTGCGAGCATCAACACCCATTAATGCTATGAAAGGATTTGAAAAAAACGGGATTCTATCCTGTTAATCGGACAGCCTTTTCTGAAGATATGTTTGAAGCAGCATTGCCAACCGAGAATCCTTTTGAATCTGATGGAACTCCAGCAGCTCCTATTTTGCTTATTTTGGGGGAAGGTGTTTTAGAAGAAAATTGTGTCCAGAGAGAATGTACAAAAGAGTGTCGAGCTTACTGCCAAACCTGATTATTGCGATGTACCCTCATCCACAAGTAGTTACATTACTCGCACAAAGAGAGCTACCAAAGAAAAAAACCTTTTTTATCATGAAGGAAAGGGCTTCTTACGTTCAAAGATTAAGAAAAATTGTCATGTTTCTCTCGTCATAGAGACAACACCAACACACATGCTTAGACTCGTTTTATTTTTCGAATAATATAGTTTTTGATGAGCTTACTGTCATTTTCAAATTACAAAGTTTTTTTCAGAAACCTCACGGTGCAAAAACGACATCTGGTGATTATTAAAATATTACCCCTCATTAAAATCTACTGATTAATAATCCAGACTACCTATTCTCTCAGATATTAAATGTAAGCCTTAATTAATATCGAAATCAATCTCTTTGTTACATTATGAATAGGGATAAGGGGAAAATACAATTCAGATTACAGCTGTATAAAGAGGATTAAACGTAGGAATAATTGTTCTATAATATAATTCGGTACATATACCTAGTTTTAGTTATTTTAGAAGAGCATCTGGGGTTAATTTTAACCAAATTTTTACAGAATAGATCCCTAAGTGCCTTAATTAGTTTCTACTGATAAGTACAACAAGAGTTTGAAAAAGTTTGGCATGAGGGCATTTTATACAAACTTAAAAACAATATGTCACATTAAATTTACAAGTAAAGATCAACTGCTCCCTCTCAAGACTATATTCCATCAATTTTGGAGTCCCTCGGGGGAGTGTACTCGGACCTTTCCTTTGTCTAATTTTTACCGCTGATATACCTACCAGTGAGAAGATATTATATTAGCAAACTTTGCTGATAACACAGCTATCTTGACATCCGACCTAGACCGAGTCATTGCATCAGGAAAACTTCAAAATCAGTTAGAGACCCGTTACAAACCTGGTTTTCTCACTGGAAAATCCAAATATATCTCCTCAAGTTAACATCAGTAATGTTATGTTATGGTGAGAATGGGGTGTTAATACACTGCGACCTAAAATATCTATTGTGTCCCCTTCTGTCACCAATGCACTAAGGAAATGTCTCAATGCCTATAACGACCCTTCCAATCCTATTTTCTCAAGAAAGTGTAGAATTTGAAGCGGCTTCAAGTTAGATAAATCTCACTCTTCTATTTGATATCCTTCTAGATATAGTGACCTTGGATTATGGAGTGTTACACATTCACTAAGAATGTGAATGGAGGTTTCGTCCTCCTCCTCACAGAATCTGCACCCACTATCCTCTACTATTCTCAGTTTACTTAGGTGTCCTTTTAGTCGGCAATGCCCGGTAAGGATCCATGTTACAATACGTAGCCTGTTCTTGCTCAAGCAGATGCAGGCCTCCGATCTTTTATGGTTATATTCACGCAGAAGAATCTTGGCCTGTCTCAGCTCCAAGAGATTGTTCCAATTATCGGTTCTTCTGCTGCCCAATTCTTTTTTAATCTCTCCTAATATTAAGTTACTGCTGATACCGCAGAACGGATCAGGTCCTACAAAGGGTGTTTGAACCCCTTTCCTTGCAAGACTATCTGCAATCTCGTTACCCTGTACCCCGTTATGTCCCGGGACCCAAGTGAGAATAATTTTATTTTTCTCGCCTAGCTCATTCAATTGTTCTAGGCATCTCCAGACCATTTTTGAGCTGATTACGTAAGAGCTCAGAGTTTTGATGACTGCTTAACTATCATACATGATGATAATCTCTTGTCTGTTATAGTTTCTCTCGATGTTAAACATCAGTAATGCTCCAATTGCAATTACAACAATTAAATACCTGTGACTCTATCCAAACCCAAAAATGATTTGGTAAGAAAATGCAATTTAACATCAAAAAAGCAAACTTTTAATTATGCTTTACACAATTCCAAACAGTCAGCTAACTCTATGAAGTCCCTCAAGCAAAAACTGTCTGTGGTTTTGGAAGCGCCTGTATATTACTGAATTACATACCATTCGGTTGCAATTGTGATGGATTTATTCTCTCTTGAAGCCTAGCTCTGTGGTTTTAAAGTTTTTCACAAAACTGCTTATTCTATATCTTGTCGTCCATTGTGGCCGTAGGACAAGTTTTGATTGCACCGGTGATGCAAACAGGTCAGTCTTTCTACTTTTGAGACATTGGCTCACGTAGTAGCTAAACTAGTTCTGGTACTCCAGGCTATAGCTCCGTAAGTCATGATTGGTCTCACTATACTATTACTGTATTCATCCATCGCAGAGTATTAGGGTTACATTCCCATCTGTTACCCGCAATGTTTCTTCATACTATTAGGGCGTTTGTGTTCTTATTTACTACTCTTTTCTTATGTTACAGAAAAGATTGTTTTCCAGGGCTGTGGATATTTGACCTTTTCTTTCCATTCTATGTCTATATCATCTAATTTTATGGTTTTGAAATTAAATTTTCCTTTCCTTTAAATGTTACTATCGTTGTGCAATATTTGTAAACTTTCCTCCAGCACATATGACTATGTCGTCGGCATAACCTTGACAGGATATGCATCTTCACAGAAGTTTATTTACGGTTAGCAAAAAACTTTTTCCAAGGGCGTATCCAGCTCAAAACAAACGGGGGGGGGCGCTTTCTGAGTTCAATATTTTAAGGAAAGGATGGTGTTCAAATGATATATAATACCAAAATGAATTCACCATTTATTGAAAAAAGAAACTTAATTTTTTAACAATAGTTTGCGTGGACTGCTTGCAAATCTTCTAGTTACATCTTCTACTAATTGCTCTTCGTTTGCAAAAACCCACTGACGATGAATGCTAAGCATAGCTAATCCATTAAATTTATTTTAACTTAGTGCTCCTTAGCCATGTTTTGATTCTACGAAGAGAGCTAAACGAACGCTCGATAGTGCTAGTAGTACAAGGTTGCGAAAGCAATATAAGAAGAGCCTCTCTAATTATCGGAAAAAACATTTTGCTCTTTTTCAAAATCTCGGTGATGTCTGGTGTTTCCTGCACTTTATTTCACATTTTGAACCATAATTCACCTTCTCTTTCAATGCCTTTTAAATTGTAGAATCTTTCACAAGATGACGTGCTTACTTGTAGAGATCCAATGATTGAATCTAAGTAAGGAATTATGAGAGATCTTTTGCAAAAGTCGCCTAGGTTTTCGGCTGGAGGATTGTTTCTATGCTATTGTCGGCCAGCAATACGAGCGACAGTTATATCAATATTCAAAAACTTTGCTATATCGTCTGCTTCTTTTAAAATTTCAGCCGTTACATTCTCCGCATTCTCTTAGCATTTCAACAATAGTTTGAATATGCTCGTTGGCTTTAACTATATCAAGTGTCTTCATTTGAAGTATATTTGCTACGGGTTCCAGAATGGCGGAATACTTAGCAATTAATGATACTGATACAATAAACGAAGATTTTCATGCTGCTGTGTGCATTTGATGTGCACTTTTTCTTGTTGCTCCATTTCTATCCTCAGCTAATGTCTTTAGTGCATCGACTAAATCGACAAAGTGATCCTTAAAAACACGAATGCTTTTATATTTCTCTGACCACCTAGTTTCAGACAATTTAGGAATGTTTGCAATAAGTTTGCGTCGTAAAACAGACTCGCGGAAAAATTTAATTATCTCCTTGATAGTTCCATCGCTGTTTCGTATTTCCGGGATAACTTTCAAGTCGTTCACGACAAGGTTAAGCTTGTGCGAAGAGCAGTGGAAGTAGAAAGCTTTTTTATCCTTTTGCCTCAATATCGCTTGCACGCCCGCCTCTTTTCCAGACATAGTGGAACATTTATCAAAACCTAACCCCACACACTTATCAGGATCTAGGTCTAATCAATGGCTTTGGCAATACTTACTGCATTAAGTCCTTCAAGCTCTACAAAACCTAAGAATTCTTTGATTTCGTTGGTATTTTCATCAAATAAACGTAATCCAACAGAAAGCTGTTCCTTGCCAGATATACTGACAAATACAATTTTTAATAAAATTCGTAATTAAAAAGTATATATGTTAGTTTTAATAAAAGTATATGGATTTGTAAAAGAAGTAAAACTTTAATTTATTATTATTATATATTTTTATCGCTTAAATTAAAGAAAATTATGTATAATCAATAAAAATCAATAATAAAATATTGACAGGCAACAGTATTTACTGGAAAATGTATGAGAAGTTGCCTAAGTCTAATAAGTTGTCATTGAAGAATTAGACTATTCTGTCAAAATAAAAAAATACCATTTAATTGGCGTAAAGTTAAAATGTATAAAAAAAGGATCGTTATTTATATTTTCATTTTTGTTCGAAAGAAAACATAGAACGAATGATTAAAAATGGTTTCCCATCAGTAAGTCACAAAATTGCATTCCAGCCACATATAATAATCAAAGGCAGAAATCGTGAAATTTAGTCCTTGCTGAATGAACATTTAAGAATAAAGGAATATTAAAGAACATCGTAAAATGATTATTGTTTATTTTAAACCTTTCAAGTTTCTGATGTCTACTATTTCCAGCATTACTGTTATTATTACAAAAATAAAGGTAATTTTTCTTCTTATTGTACACCTCTGCATTTATTTCTTTGATTTTGCTACTGAAATTTTTTGTATAAGTTTCACTGTTTTTTGTGCTAGTATTTGTACAATTTTCAACACAGCAACTCCGGTTGCTAATTATATTGTTTTTACCTACTTTTTTTAAAAAAAGTAAAATGTATACGTGTATTTGATAGGCCAAAATTACAAAATATCGCCCTTAAATGCACGAATTATCCGCAGCTAGCGCTAGTATCGCTTTTGCGCTTCCCTTTCCATGACTTCGCACGGAGCGAATAAAATATTAAATATTTTATATTAATTTAATTTTTTAGGATTCGAAAAGGGGGGGCAGCTGCCCCCCCTTGCCCCTCCCTGGATACGCCCTAGACTTTTTCTTTGTGCAAATGAAGATGGTGCCCTGTCCTATCTGTGTCTCTGCAGTTCTAGTAGATAGCAACTATGTCACCCATTGTGACCAATTCTTGTGATGTATTGTGAAACGCTTCTTCTATGTGTAAGAAGGCACACACGACCGTTTCTTTGTTTGTTAGTTCATCCTGGGCTTCGTTAGCCAGCTACACCAGGGCAGTTTCTGTAGATGTTTCTGTACCGTACGCGTACTGGTTGTGCTAGAATGATACCTTTGAACTTAAGTAAATATTACTTTATTAACCTTAAGAACTAGTTTTACAATTACAGCTATTCCATTGTTTCTAGTGGAAAGATCACATAGTAAGTTATTATTAAAATTTTATATTTCTAAAAAAAGGGTATCCATCTTCTCAAATGTGGTCGAACAAAACCATGTATTTAAAATTTAAAATATAAGTGAACAGCAATCAGTTTCGGCTAATTCGCCGTCATCAGGCTTTATAAATAAGTAATTAAGAAGAAAATTCGAAAACTTAGAAGATCATTTCGACGTCAAGGGTTAGAAAACGAGGGAAGTATATGAGGGCAATAGGAAGGAGTTAAATGAAAATAGGAATTATTTCTTCTTGCAGTCTACGTAACATTCTATAAATACGTAAATAAATGTGCAGTCCAATTTTTTGCTAATGACACTCAGCTGTTCCTCGAATATTCGTCTGATCATAACCTTCACATTATTGCTTCGAAATCCAAACTAATATTATTCTATAGTAAAAATATTAGACAATATATGTATAAAGAACAATACAACCTTGATGATATCTGGTGAATCTATTCCACATGAAACTGAGTCCATAAATTTAGGGTTATACTTTGACGATCAAATGAGGTTCAGTTAAGATGTCAACTATGTGTTACAAAAGTGTTACAGTGGTCTTCGCTTGCTTTATTCTAGTAAACACATCCTTCAGAACCAATCTATAAAACTAAAACTTTGCCAAAGCCTTGTAATTTCAAAAATATTTTATGGAATTGTTGTGTATTATCCTTGTTTAACAACAGTTGATCGTAAATTATGCAGAATACATGCTGCAGATTTGCAAATGGACTTTTGGAAAATTTGTTTATTTTCCCATGCTTTTTCCCAAACTGGCTGGCTAACTGTTAATAATTTATATAAATTATGTTCCTTTCTTTTCTTTTTAAAATACTTTCTACTGCGTCACCATTATATCTTAAAACCAAATTAACTTTTAGACCGTCTACGCACAATGTATACATAAGAAACAATTTTAATGTACAGTTCATCAAATTTCTAGAAGTGTTCGACGCCCAGACAGAGAACGCGCTACGTGTGACTAAGATAGCTATTGTACAGTCTGCTAAACAAGTTATTTTAAATGGTTTTTAATATTTTTAGGTAATTAAATTTTAAAAGTGTGGAATAGTTTAGGGATTAAATTGGTCTGATTGGACTTTCTTAGAACGTTTTTAAAAGCAGCTAAAGATAGTATGTAGAATTGAAAATAATTATTATGCCATAAAAGGTGTTTTGGAATTCCTTCAACCTTTTGAAATTGAGTCAGAAAATATAAATTTTATAGGATAGCGGAAAATACCTATAATTTTTTTGTAGGCCTTTGTAAATCGTGGAAATAGTTTATATTTTATTTCTACCTTATTAAGGAAAATGGTACCTATTATTAATAACGGTTGTTTCTGAAACATTACTAAAATTTTCGAAATTTTGTTTTTCTACAAAATAATAAACTATACTATTTAGAAAAAAATTTATTTCTCTTATAATTTTATAAAAAATAATAGGGGAATATTTACATTTCTTGATCTATTAAACAAAACGATAAATTATCTCGACGAATGACACCATGTTCTGGTACGGAAGCTAGCTTTACATTTTTGTTGGTGGTTTCATGGGTTTCATATCAATTTTTTGTAATTGTAGTTTACACGTACATATACCTCTTAACACTTGTTTGCTTTATTAAAAAAGTGTGTTGTTGTGATTTACGTCGAAATAAGTCAAAAACAACTTGAAACCCCATATAAAATCAAAAAGGAGAAACGAAAAAAAAATTGAGCCTGTAAATGAACACAACTCAGAAACAAAAATAGCTATCTAATAATAAAAAAATAAAATTTGATTCTTGTGCAGCTTCATCTATATCATTAACTGTTTTTGGTTTTTTAATGGTTTTTCTTGGTGATGAAAATTCCGATATCTCACGGTTATCGATTCTTTTTTTCTCTCCAGAAATGCGGACGACAGTGTTTTTAGATACTCCTGTGGCTGCAGCAACACGATCATTTCCATTTTTAAATGGTATTGAAGGTTAATTAAAGTTTCCTTTTTTTCTCATAAACTCTATAACATTGGCTATTTTTTCGCGAGATTGTTAATTACGCGGTCTCTTAAACTCCATACTTAGGTTCTATTAAACTGTAATGAGCAAAAAACACAAACGAAAATAAAAGAAATGTTTTAGCGAAATTTACATCTGACATTTACGTCTGAATGAAATAGTGAAATACTTGATGCGCAGAGTGTACTTTCATTGCGTAAATCCGTCGGGATGCCTGTCAGTAGTGCTTTCTCTGTCTAGCCGTCGAAAGCCTCTAGAAATTTGATGAACTGTATCAATGCCTCGTCACTTTAGGGATATTTATAATCGTAGTTTTTCGTTTAACTAGTATAACGTAATTGTTCTGTTTTTAGAAATGCTTTAAAAAGGCAACTCTTTATTAGTCAAATGTAAACTGTTAGATATAATGAGCTACTAATGCCAAATTGTATAGATAAACTTAAATGTAGATATTTTGCTAGAGTTAGGTGTAAGAATAGTCACAGGCTAAGCCTCGCCCATGCTAATTGTATAAAAATGATACTATTTTGTGCAAATACCCGTTGTTATTATTATTTACTTAATATTTTTCAGTCAACATAGTAAATATTTTGAACTTGAGTAAAAAATATTTTATCTATTAATTAAGTCATTATTTTCACCATTATTCTCTAAACAAGAAGGTATTAAATTGACACTCTTCATATTAAACCTTAATTTGAATTTCACCGTTGAATTTATTTCCCCATAAAAATAAGATCCTTTTATTAATATCGTAAATCTATGTACCTACGTATATTGTGTATTAAAATTTTATCATTTTCTATATTATACGACCAAGTCGGATAATAATTCAACGTAGTTTCTGTATTGATATCAATCACATAAAAACCTTCGCCAATTTTCCTTCGAACTTGACTTTTATGCTTGAAAACAGGCATACATTTCGTTGTATCTGAGATCTTTTCGTATCAGTCTGTAATATTCTTACAAGCTTTGAAATATACGAAGAAATTTAATGGCATTCGCACAAGATACAGCTAGAGATACTAAATCATCATCGAATTTCTATTCGCTTTGTATGTTTGTGCGTGGATTTGAGATCGATAGCGAAGTAGGAGGTCCATTAGAAGGCATCACATAAAGAATAAAATGCATATTATCAGATATCTACAACAACATAACTATAATAAATTGAATATTGTTTCAATATTATTATAGATAGGTATTTTGTACATAATAAAGACGATTCTACGGAAGCGTGAAAGAGCTACAATTGTTACTTGTGCAACAAAAGTGGGTATATGGACAATCCACTCGAGTTGTGCAGTATATTTTTTCTACGACCTACTAACGAAAATATACAAATTTTAAAAATTATTTTTGTTTATTAAGATATAAAAACTAATTTAAAAATAAATTATCACTTTTACTAATTTATAAAATAAACTTTTAAAAAATCCTAGATTTGAAACCGGGACCTTTCGAATGGACCATCTCTAAACATTATT